TCCAGAACTCCTCAAACAGGAAAGTTTTAGTTTCATTTGATGAAAATCTTCTTCCAGGAACCTTTTGCTATCGGATAATAAATCGATTAATTGAAAAAATAATGAACAGATTAATTGATTTGTAAAATAATGTTTAATTGCAGGCCTGCTCTGCAGACGTTCTGTGTGTAGATGTTAGGTTTGCTCACCCTGAGGATCAAACCACTGATTTGATCAAAGTTAAACATGGAAACGGCTTTTAGACAGCGACCACCGCAGAAAGATGGCCGCCTCCGCAGAGGGGGGTGGGGGGCGTTTAAACCTAATTATGTTTTCTGTAAAGAAATCCTGCATTCCTGTAAGGAATAAAAACAAAGCAGCTTAGAGGAGAAAACCTGCTGAGGACGGAGACAGGAGGTCACCTCATAGCTGACCTGACATTTGAGCCAGACTCTGCGGGGACGGACTGACCATTAAAGAGTCCAGAAAACAGCCCCTCCCCCCCAGCGATCATCTCTGCCGGCCTGTGGCGGCTCCACTAACACGGCCTCAGCAGATCCATCTTTAGGCGCAGAATAAATGATGTGGATTCAGCCGTGAGCCTCTGATCCTCCGGTTAGCTCGCCTCTACATGACGCGCTTCATCTGTTCTCATCGCACCAATATCATCTCTCTCTGCTCACAGATCAATAACCAGGCCTCACTTTAAATGCAAATACAAAAAAAAAGTCAAGATATGAAGAAACATGGAATATGGGGGCGATCATTTACTTTGGTTATGATCCTGAGGTGACTCTGAGGGTCCCGGCCTTCTCCAGAGACACACGGCTAATAACATCTGCTGGCTCTCCTGGCATTTCATCCCCAGTCCACCTTAAATGACAATCCAGCTCTTTTTTATTGGTTTATTTCCACACAGACTGGGGGGGGGAGGGGGCAGAGCATTCAGCTCCAGCCTTCCCTCATTTTCACCATTATTCTACCTCCACTGACAGCAGAGATAACCGTGTTACAGATGAAACCGTGAACACGGGATCATCGATACAACAGAAAGCAAAGCCTTTGATCCCACAGGGAGGTTATTAGCCGTTAGCGCCTCTCAGTTCAATAATGAATTATTTTCATTAACGGGATTAACAGTTAGTTGGAACAGACTGTATTTGAGGAATATTCATTTTAAAATACTTTCTTAAAAATACTGACAACTGTTTAGATTCTATATGAAATAAAATATTGTCACACAAACATTATTGCATTGGTTTGTTTAGCTGCTTCTCACGACCCGATCCGTCCGGCGCAAACAGAATAATACGATCCAGGTAGCCAAAAACTACGTAATAAAGTTATTGAAAAAACTTATTTATATACTTAAAACATTAAAGAATGCTAAACTACATTGTATAGAAAATATTTAAGACTTTTCTGGAAGAAAAAGATACGTTTTTTATTCCTTACACTGAATTTTTAACTGATAAAAATTCAGCTGCAAAACATTTTCCTACAAATGTGTCGACCTTTTGGTGAACTGAAGCCAAAGCAATCTACACTTAATGCAGTCCAGCAGCTTCTATCCAATGAAATGAGCTCATTTGGTCACATGACACAACAGTTGGGCGTAGCTTTGTTCACGACTATATGAGCTTAAATGAGGAGTTTTTCTTGTAAAACAGATATGATTACAAGACGTCAGATAGCTACTAATAGACAGCTATTAGAGCTTTTCATCTATTTGGATAACTGAGCTGATCACACCTCATC